ACATACACCTCAGTTTCTTATTGTATGCTAAATATAAATCCTTATATTTACAGAGACGTATACCATTCACCACTCTTCAAAAACGCTTCTTTTCCTTTTTTTTGTTTAACACTACAGTTTTTGTTACTACACTGTTCCAAAACTTGTCACACACAGAGAATAAGTGTTTGAGAGATGCCCAGCCCAAAGTGACACATGTACACCTAAGACTCATGGAACATAGTGGAATGGGGGCAAAGAGAATATTAATACATTTCTCAACTCTCACCAGTGAAGCTTCCTCATATAACAGAGTGCGATGCACACAGAAAGCCACAAATAGCCAAAGTGTAGAGAATAAGAGACTGTAGAGTGCACGTCCCTAGATAGGACTCCTATATTAAACCTCACCCACCCATGGCTCAGGGATGATTGTGGAAGAGGGGGCAGAAAGATTGTCAGAGCCAGGGTTGGTGCACCAACATAAGAAAGTAGAATCTTCCAGGCCTCTGGGAGCTTGCTCATATGAACTTATGGCAATGGCAACAGCATACACAAGACCCAAGCAAACTCAATCAGATAAAAACCCAGCATAGGAGGGAAAATTGGCAGCAGGTCCCAACCTTAGCCAAAGAACTGTTTAGACAGCTGATTACTGGGTGAAGGAGAGTTAATCTTCTTTAAGGGGGTGACTCTAGTTGGCTGACTAGACTCCAGTGGATGAACTTGCACTGAGGGACATCTGGGTACACAAACTTGACTTCATACACCTTAACACATATGACAGAATGCATGAAACCCAGTGAGATGGGGTCTGGGGGCTACATATGAGAGAGGGAGTATAAAGCCAATTAAGATGTTTTGTATGACGTGCACAAAAATTCAACAAAAAATACATTAACAAAAATACACTGGAATCCTAAAGCTACTATATGCACTGTGCAAATGTCTTATGCTCCTGACCACTACACATGCATCAAACAGAAGGCCTGTTTATCTGTACTTCAACCCAGCAATATTACAATCATAGGTTAGAGTCCTCCATTTGCATTCTTAGGCCTAACTTTTCCTGAATTGCCACAGTATTCAGGGCCTGATGTGTCAGCAACGACAAATAGGAAGGTCCTTGGGATGACGCTGGTGACCAGGTTTCAATATCAGTCCCTTGCACTCCCAGGCAGTCACCCAGCACTGTCATCACAGCACGCAGTTCCCTTCCCTGTGCTTTGCAGTACTAGGAGAGTAGATGCTTTAGAAGGCCCATGTCATATGCTCAGTTGGAAACATTCTGCCAATTCTCAAGGTCCCCAGAGAAACAGAGACTACCAGAGAGGTTGGCCTCTGTTCAGGGGCACCCAGTGCAGTGTCCACCTTGTCCTAACCAGGGTGTAGGCTAGGATGGGGTGGCCATGGTGGCCAGGTAACTGACTGCTGGCCACTCTGCCCTCTACTTTCTGGTGCCAGTGTTCAATTGATGCCTCACAAAACCACTTTGTGATTGTTTCCCTTGCATGGATCATGGTCTCATTCACTACAATTGTCTCTGGACAAAGGGATTAGCTGAGTTGCAACTCTGAAGTGACAGCTATCCTGGGTGAATTTTGTTGTGGCAAACTGGGATGGTCTAGGATCTTTAGGTGTCCAGATGTGCTGGGTTCTGCTTGCCCCTCTGAAGGTCGAGACCCTTGCTTTTCTCTTTGAGGTGAATCTAGAGGCCACCACGACTCTATTCAGGAATGTAAAAAATGTTCCAATTCATTCTATGCTCTGATCAAAGGGCCCCATCACGGCTGGCCCAGAGTTTGTGTGGACATTTTCCAGGTTCTGCACCTCACTGTGGTTTTCTTTGACTGCCAAACTAAAGTCATGCTGATAAAAGGGGAAGAATCAGGAACAAGGAAGTTTACAGAAAAAAAAATTATGACTATAACTTCAAATAAGTATTGCTACAAGTATCTAATATCTGATGCTGGATCTTCTTTCCTTGAATCTTGGCTGGTCCCTCAGTTGTGGGATGAAAGGCTTTGCCTCTCACCACACCTGAAAAAAATCACAACACATCCCCCATATTATCAGTAATTACATGTTGATTGGAAAACACTGAGAAATGTCATTCTCAGGAAATTATTTAAAACTCCAATCAAAATAGTAAGATAAGTGGTTGCAGCTCTTTGTGAAGACCCTGTGCCACCTGCTTTCTTCTGTCAGAAGCCGGGTGGTGATGACCACCAAGCTCCAAGGACATATGTGTGTGGGGGAAACCCATCCTGATACAAGGGTCAGTTGGTCTTCACATCCAGTCCTGCTTAAAATCCCTTCTACCTAGAGCAAACCAGAGCTATCTCACAGCCAATGAGCTATGTGGGCTTATTGATTACTAGATTAGTTACTTTTCTGTTGCTGTGATAGAAACATTGACCAAAACAACTTATAAAAGGAAGCGTTTATTTGAGCTTATGGTTCCAGGGGAATTACAGTCTGTCATGGCAGGGAGGCATGGTGGCTTGAGGTGGCTGGAGCAGGAGGAGCAGAAGCTAAGCTCTCACATCATCATGTAGGCACAGGAAGCAAGAGAACAACTGGAGATCTGGCAAGGCTTAAGAACTCTGTAAGCCCACCCCCAGTGACATGATGCCTCCAGGATAGCCACACCTCCTAAGACCTCCCAAAACAGCACCACCATCTGGGAACAAAATGTCCAAATACTTGGAGCCTATGGGGGACATTTTCATTCAAACCACCACATTCCACCCCTTGGCTGCCATAGGCTTCTGACCATACAAAATGCAAAATGTATTTAGCCCAACTTTAAAAGTCCCCATAGTCATTATCAGTCTCAATACTATTCAAAAGTCAACAGTCTAAAGTCTCTTCTGAGACTCAGGTAAATATCTTAACTGTAAGCCTCTATAAAATCAAAAGACAAATTATATACTCCCAACATACAGTGGAACCGAATATATATCACCATTCCAAAAGGGGGGAATGGAGGCATAGTAAGGAAATATGGGACCAAAACAAGACTGAAAACCAGCAGGGAAAACACCAAATCCAGTAGCTCCATGTCCAACTTCTGGGACTTTACTTTCAAAAGGCTTAGATGGCTCAACCTCTCTAGCTTTGCTGCATGTAACACACATCTCTCTCTTGTGCTGGTACCACTCCCTGCATGCGGGTCTTCTTGGCAGATGCCTCACAGCTCTGGCATCGTGGACATCTTGAGGTCTCCATTGCCAACCAGGCTTCACCTTCACAGCTTCACACAATGGCCTATCAGGGCCTTCTCTATGCAGGGGAACCCCTGCTGCATGCTGCCTGGCCTCTGAGGGACTCTCAAACCTTGGAGGAAGAACTGGTGACCCCTTCACTCTTGCATCTTTCATGCCTCTAAAGCCAGCACCAGGTGAAGGACACTGCCAAGTTTGGCTGCAAGTTTGGGGTGGACCCCAGCCTGCTTTATCCATTTTAGAAGCTTTTCTCTTCAGTGGCCCCTGCAGCATTTTCCTTTCACAAGTTGGAGGCTTAACTGGGTGTGGTATTTCCCTGGAGGCACTCTCTCCACTGTTTAAGTGCAAATCTGTGTCCCTCCTTATCAAATGGATCCTTTCCAGCACAAGGCTGGGCCCCAACATTTATTTTCCTAGTGCTCTTTTCAATCCATCCTGTCCATTCTGTATTTCTTTCTGCCTCATTTGCTCTTTTTCACTGTAAATCTGCATAATATTCACCATCAATAGCCACACCACCATTTCTACATTAGGCTCTCTGGAAATTTCTTCTGCCAGAGAAATTAGTCCATTGCTTTTCAACTTAGCATCAGGCACACTTTTTGGCTGTGGGCAGACTCCAGCCAGACTCTTTGCCCAAATATCCCAATTGCTGCTTAAGTCCTTATTTCCCTCTGGAACTACATTGTTCTCAGCACTACTTTCTTCCAGGCCCCTACTAGAACGGCCTGTTAAGCTCTGCTTACAGCAATCAACTCCTTTTCTAGTCCAAGCTTCCAAAGTCTTCCACATTCTTCCAAAACCCCACATGGTCAGGTTCTTCACAGCTAACACCCCACTGCTGGTACCAATTACTGTATTAGTCACTTTTCTGCTGCTGTGATAGAAAAACAACCAAAGCAACTTAGAGAAGGAAGAGTTTATTTGAGCTTACAGTTCCAGGGAAATTACAGTCCGTCATGGCAGGGAGGCATGGTGGCTGGAGCTGGCCAAAGCAGGAGAAGCAGAAGCTAGGTTCTCATATCATCACACAGGCATAGGAAGCAAGAGAGCAAGTGCAGATCTGGCAAGGCTTAAGAACTCTGTAAGCCCACTCCCAGTGATGTGCTTCCTCTAGGATAGCCACACCTTCTAAGACCTCCCAGAACAACGCCACCATCTGGGGACAAAATGTCCAAATACTTGGAGCCTATGGGGGACATTTTCATTCAAACCACCGCAACCAGCAAGTAAACTTTTCTCCTCTCTGCCAAGTACCATGGGATCCAAGCAGGGAGTATGGTAGTCTGTCATGGAAGATGCTTTCTGAGAGGAAGCAATGCATGGTGGTTCCAGGTGCAGAGCAGGTGCTCCTGGTAAAAGAACCCATGTGACAGATGTTCAGATGGCAGGCACACAGAACTCCACAGCACCACCATCAGCATCAACAGATCACAAGAGGACGGGCTGTGCTGAGGAATGGAGGAAGGAGAGATGTTCTGGGGGAGAGGCTGGCAGGCAGATCTGGGTGCTATGTACAGTGATCCATGCAGAGTTCCATCACCTGTGGTGCCAGGGCTTCAGAGAAGTCCCAACTGAGATGGAGCTGATTGAGGACTTGGAATGTGGAGCTAAGGCTGCTCCTCTGAGTGGGTCAGCAAGGAGGGTGGGGCTGGGTGGCACTCTAGTAGAGGCCCTTCTATTGTGTGTTGGATTTTCTGCTTCTCAGAAATTGGAACTCTCACTTTCGCTTTCCCTTTCTGGTACAAGGTATATTAAACAGGAAGCTGTTTGTCTGATATGCAGCTGGTGAGCTGATTTACAGTTCACATGCAAGGATAGCTGATATGCTTCCAACTCAGCTATAGGAAGAAGCCCGGGTAAGTTGGAGCCCACTTAGATTCCCATTCCTGCCCCTCCTCTCAGTGTCTCTTGAAGAGAAAAATCATGGTCTCCTTGGGATAAGCTCAGTGGGATGCTGTGAAGGAGGCTGAGCAGGTGGGGGTTAGGCTTCAGCCTAGGTCAGCAGCAGCAGAACTGGGCTTGCAGCAAGGATGAAATCTGGTTGCCCCTCCCTTCCTTTCTGTCCTAAGCACTAAGAGCATGGCAAACCACTCAGATGGGATCACCTTGCTGTCTAGGGCTTAACTCCGGTCCGTACTGCCTGAGACCTGGTTATCAGGCTCCCAAGAGGAGGTGGCTGTGGTGGGTACTTTGGGAAATGGAGGAACAGAAGGATGTGAAGGAGGGCAGGAGATCTAGAGCTCACTGGTTCTTATGTCCTGACCACCCTGAAGTTCACCCTGGGGGGTTATTGCTGCCAAGACCAAATAGTGGAAATGCTGGATTGTGAGATACAAGGAGCCAAAGAGTTGTGTCGAGCATTGTGTCTCTGAGCATGTGTCTGTGCTGGGCCCTGAGGGAAGATGTCTTGCTGAGGATGCTGTGAGGTGGATGGCAGGCTTGTCTCCCCTGAGACTCCCCTGTCCTCTGCTAAACCTGTGGGGAGTGGATAAGGAAGGCAGTGTCTACCCTGTGTGTTTGGGTGGATTGGTTGCCAGGGAGGGCCATGTTATACAGTCGTGTATTCAGCATCATGATCTGTGTAATCACAGGGTCAAACGTCAGACTACAGGTGGGCCTGTGAGAGAGGGACTGGGGAAGGGAGGGAGAGAGAGTGAGAGTCTTCCCTGTCCGTAAAAGCAAAGGAACTTCAGAATGATAAAGAAATCATACTTTCCTTCAGTGGGGCTGCATCCTGGTGACTATGCCTCATGAATATCTCCAGAGCCCAGAGCAGGGTCATGCAAGGCAAGTGGGATGAGGCTGTCCTGGTTGGTCCTGGCACCACATTCCCACATTCTCACCATAGGGGTGAGGAACGTTCTCTGTGAGGGAGGAGCCCACAGGGGATGGTAAGGAGGCTGCAGCAGGTAGGAGGCCCTGTGTCCAGCCAGGGTGAATGGTCTTGAACTTGACCCTGGGAAATAATTATAGATTCCCAGGAGGAGCACACAGTCCTGAACCCTTGTTCTCCCTTCCCAAGGAGGACACGCGGCAGCCTCTGAGAATTGAGACTGTGCTCAGCACCCCTGTGTGCCCATTTGCAGAGCTTGTGCACAGCTGGGGAAGGCAGGCTCCCAGCCTGGGCTTCCAGGTGTCCATCAGAAGGCCAGGGCCCAGGGGAGGAGACGCCCTTTGACCTGAGTCCCTTTGCTTCTCTACCATCCCAGAGGGAACCATAGAACACCATCCTTCGCTGCAGCTGTCCCTACTCCACCTCACATTTTGTTTTCTCCTCTCTGTAGCTGGGACTCCAGGCCAGCTTTCTCCAGTGAGGAAATCCTGTCAGAGATCCTGAGGCTGGTGCCAAGGACCCAGCAGCCCTCATGGCCTCCAGAGGTAGTCACAGTCCCCTTCTCTGGTTGTTTCCTCCTTTTGCTCTACAACATTAGGTTGCTGTACAACTGAGTGCTGCTGAGGAGCTAAAGGTGGAGAGGGAGTCCCCCAGAGGGACTAAGGGGAGTCACCAGACTGACACTGTCTATGGCTCTGATTGTCAGATATGCCCAGGATAAACATCTCCCTGCCTTGCCTCTCAGGAAGGGTTGTGACAAGCTAGGAAAGTGGGGGTCAGCAGGCGGTATGTGTTACTAACAACTTTCAAATTCAGCATGACTCTATGCCTGGTTTTGTTATTGCAGAATCTGAGGAGACTCTAAACTCCCTACTGCACAAGAAATCTTTTCCCCCGTTGTCTGTTCGAATCTGGTTTTGCATGTTTACCAGTTCCTATAAATGGGTCCTTTATGCCATACAATAAACCACTAAAGCTAGCCTTACCTTTCCTATGTTCAATGAGCTTTGATGCTCTGAATGTATTTTCTTTTAAAATGGTGGTCTTCAGCGTAAACTAATGCCAGAAACATCTAACAAGTTGAAAGCTCCATTTGAAGTGTCTTGTTGCCACAGTTTGACACACAAGAGGCTCACAGTGGATTGAGAGCATCCTCGGAATGTTCTCACTCCCTGGGTTAAAAGATGCATTTTTTTTTTTGGTATACCATCCTAACATTTGAAATTTATGTAAATTAATTAGAAATCTGAAATTAGGATGCATTCAGTAGCGTGGTTTGTCTTCATTTTGAACAAAAGATTATTATTAATACAATTTAACCATGCGCGATGAATATGCACTACCTATTTTAGATGAGGAGCGGGAATGCCTCAGTATCAAGGTGTTTTTTAAGATATTGGTTAGAACCAAACAGTGAAACTAGAGACAGAGTTCTGGGATAAAGCAGGATGTAATATTTATGCATGATCTTACTATGCACTCCTGCTGAATTGCAAAACTATTTATGATGGTAGAAATTTACAGTTTTTAAGCTTATATTTTATGTAAAAAATTGTGCTTATAGCCTAATGTTATTTCTCTATAGTGTGCATATCATGAATATCAGCATGTAAATTTAAACAAGTATTTTACCACTATATTTCCTAACATCTATGCATTTTGAAAAATGGAAATTTTTGGAAGAAAATCAAAAAAATATGTTTTGTGTGTAGTGGACATTGAAATTTTTTTTTGCTGTTTTTGAGACAGGGTTTCCCTGTAGTCCAAGTTGGCCTGGAATTTACTATGTAGACCAGGCTAGCCTTGAACTCCACCTGCCTCTGCCTCATGAGCACTGGGATTAAAGGCGTGTGCCACCATACCTGGCTGAATTTTTTAAGAAATGTTTTTATTTATATTTTTCCATCTGTAGGAACTCTTTTTGACAAAGCGTTTTTACAAATAAAATAGTCAAAATAGTTCAGAAAAGCGTAAAGCAGAAAAGCTAAAAGATTTTAAATAATCTTATTTTTTGTTTTAATTGAATTTTTGTGCATTTCATACTGTCCTAGTTAGTTCTCCATTGCTGTGACAAAATGCTGACCAATACCAACTTGGGGAGGAAAGGGTTTATTCAGCTTACATCTCCCAGGTTGCAGTTCATCAGGGAGCCCAAGGTAGGAACTCAGGACAGGAACCTGGAAGCAGGAGCTGGAGCACAGGCCATGGAGGAACACTGCTTACTGGCTTGCTCCCCTGGCCTCTGATCAGCCTGATTTCTTATGCAACACAGGCCCACCTGCCCAGGGGTGGCACCACCCACAGTGGGCTGGGCCCTCCCACATCACTCATCAAGAAGATGCCCCTCAGACATGGCCACAGGCCAGTCCAATAGAGGCAATTCCCCAACTGAGACTCCCTCAACCCAGGTGTGTCAAGTTGACACTAAAGCTATCCAGCACACATACACTACATCTTAATCATACTAAAACTCCCTCACCATCTGCATCTCCCCATAGTGCCCCCCTCCACTGGATTTTATGCATTCTGTCATATGTGTTAAGGCCTATGGAGTCAAGTTTGTGTAACACTAGACAGACTGATTAGGCTCCAGTGGATGAACTCACACCAAGAGACACAAAAATGCACTTTTTTATTGTTCTAAGTTGAAAACACTTAATTTCACCGCAAAGCACATGCCACCTCTCTGGTGTACAAGTCTTCCCAGCTGCCCACAATATCACAGGTTGAGGGATTAAACCAAAGGCTTCCGTTTCTGTGAGCTTGAAAGTCAAAGTTCATAAACATGAAGTGTCAGGTTGCTTCTACCAAGGGTGCTTCTTCTAGTTTGCAGAGGCAGCCTGCTCACTATCTGTACAAGGCCTCCCCTGCATGTATGGTGGGAGGGAGGGAGAGAGAAGGAGGGAGGGAGGGATGCAGAGAGAATACAGATGCACAGAGAAAGATACAAGAGAGGTAGATAATGGATAGATGGATGGATATATGGATAGACAATCAGTATCTGGTGTCTATTCTTACTATTATAAGGACACCAATCCCATGGATCAGGGCCCTATATTTATTATGATGATATTTAATCTTCATTATTTCAGTTCCTTAAAGGCTCTCTCTAAAACCAGTTACCTGGCATAGGGACTTTCACATATGAATTTAGGGAACATTAGTCAGCCTTTAACACTGGTGACTCCATTAAGTACCCATGGCAGACGCTGAGGAACTTGACTGTTAACCACTTTACACTATTTACCATTTATGCTCTTCCTTGCTGTCCTCTGACCTCATTCTTTTTCTTCCCAAGTATTGAGGAAATGTTTCATGCAGAGACTCATCGAACGTCTTCAGGACATGGAGAGCAGAGAGGACCTGCAGCTCCTGTTGACTAAAGATGAACACTGGAATGCGTTGGTGGTGGAAGCTGAATTGTCCAGGTAATCTCCATGGGGTACCAAGAAATGCCCTCATTTTGGTCTAAGCCAACATCAACAAAGTTCCCCCTGGGAAAATTTTTTGGTAGTGATTCTATAGAACTTAAGGGAAGGCATATTAAGTGCCTGTCACAAATGAGGGTCTTGACATGACTTTGCACAATGACCACCATGGACTAAGGACCATGGTGCATCTATGATTATCAAATGTTCATTGTAGAATGCAAAGTCTGTACATTTATAAAATCTTTTCCATCAGTTTTGTAGTAAGATCTGTTTGAACAAGACAGACCTTGTGGAGTATCTTATGGCTAAACAATTTCTGATGCCTTGACTTCTGATGTTACAGGGACGAGGAAGCTACATTGCGTAAAGCTGTGAAGGAGCTTATAGAACTCATAGCTGTGGAGGACAAAGACAGACTTCAAAAAGAACTGCAGGAAAAGGAGAGGTTTTTGAAAGCCTTTCCTGGGTTGAAAAAGAAGCTTGAGGCATACATCAGGAAGCTCCGTGCCCTTGCTGACCACATTGCTAAGGTTCACAGGGCCTGTACCATCTCTTCTGTGGTGACTGGTGCCACCAGCACTGTTTCTGGAGTCCTGAGCCTCCTTGGTATAGTTCTGGCACCTGTGACAGCAGGGGCCAGTCTGGTGCTGTCAGCAACTGGATTGGGGTTGGGAATAAGTGCTTCTCTAACTAGTACTGCTACTACACTTGTAGAGGAAACAAGCAGGTGGTCAGATGAAGCTGAAGCCAGGCACATGGTTTCACTTACCATAAAAATAATAAGGGAAATTGTTGCTATAGGTAAAATTACATTCAAACTTTCTTCTGGAATCTACAATATCAAGAATATGAATTCCTTCATAGAGCACATCCATGCCATCAGGATGACCATAGACAACCCTCACTTGGTAGCAGATGCCAGGATCCTTGGGACCACTGGGGAACTCTGTGCCGAACAAGCCACTCAGGTACCACCTGCCTTAAAAGGCACTGCTTTGGCAATGACCAAAACAGCCAGAATCACTGGTACAGTCACTGCAAGTCTCTCCCTTGTAGTAGATGTGTGTTTCCTTATAAAAGACTCAGTGCACTTACATGATGGGGCAAAATCAGAGTCAGCCGAAACACTACAGAAGATGGCTCAGAAGCTGGAGGAGAACTTGAGGGAGCTTGACCAGATCCACAAGACTCTACAGTCGGACAAGCCTTAAAGATGCCCTGTGCAACATAGTGGTCAGTGGAGATGACTTAGAGGTAGAGGTAGTGAAGGCCTTTTGATAGTAGGGGGATGCGATGGTTAGTTTTAATTGTCAACTCACCTGGGAAGGGGGTCTCAGTGAGAGACTGTCTAGATCATGTTGGCTTGTGAACATGCCTGGAAATGATTTTTCTTAGTTACATTAATTGAGATGGGAAGACTCCACTGTTGTGAGTGGCACCATTTCCTAGGTTTGGATTTTGAACTGCATTAGAATTGAGAAAACAGACTGAGTAACAGTTTGCACGCATTAATTCATTTCTCTCTGCTCTTGACTGTGGATGCAATGTGACTATGTCCTTCAAGTTCCTGCCTTGACTTCCCCACACTGATGGTCTATAACCGGGAATTGTAAGTAAAATAAACACTTTCTCCCTTAAGTTGCCTTCTAAGGGTATTTTAGCACAGCAACAGAAATGGAGCTAAGCAGGGAAGGTGGGTGAGATGGAGTCTTTAGCACTGAGCATCGAGGAGTTTGGATTTCTGTGACTGATGCAGACTGTTAGTGATAAGAAGACAGCACCTGGAGTCTGTAATAAGGGACCAGAGGTGACTAGAGAGTGTGGCGAATGGGATAAAAACACACTGGGAGTGTGACTAGAGATGACTGTAGAAAAGTAAGTAATGAGAAGGTCGTGAAAACTGAAGAGCTAAAAACAGGAGAAAAGTAAAGTGAGTTCTGAACATGGAAAAGACACTGCAGCCCCACCAGACGCTGTCCTGTGACTTACAGCTCTTTCATCAAATAGCAACGGTGTCAACTCACCTTTGTGTCCTTTCCAGTGATGACAGTGGTGGAGGAGGAGGGTGGTGGTAACAGAGTGGAGCTCATGACACATAAGATGACCAGAATCCAAATAACAGGTGCTGGGGCAAAAATCCCTATTCCATCTGAGGCGGTGAATGTCAGTCACTAAGTAGTTAGCTGCAGTGGTCACTAAGTCCTCCTGCTGCTGAGGTTTCCAGGGAGATTTGTCCAATAGGAGTAACATGGTGTTTAGCAAGATGGTAAAAGAGAGAACCAAACTGGTCTAATGGGCAGCCTTTGCACCAATCGAAAGGTGGCTGGCAGAAAGGGCGGTGGGTAGATCAAAGCAGGAAACAAGAAGATGAGTAGGGTAAGCAGGGAGGTGCTGTGATTTGAGCCCAAATTCCCAGAAAATTCCTCCAGGATTCCCTCTTGCACAAAGGGATGGAGGACATAGTTGACTCTACCTCTTCAACAGAGTGCCTTGCCACTTGGGGTCAGCACAGTTGCCTCTTTTTGTGGGTTAATTTGCAGTGATAGAGTCCCCTACTTGTCTTAACTACCCCTTCTACCCAAGGGAACTGGCTAGATGTGACTGTGCTAGCTGTGGCCAGGGAGTCACCTGATCAGCTGGGACATCTAAAACACCGGTACTCATGACTGTTCTTGATTCCCAAGTCACAGTTCTTAGAAAAACACACCAACCTTGAGTCAGGGGTCTGCATGAAATCACAGAGGAGCCCTCAAGATGTAAGGGTCGAACGAGGATCTGCTGAGGATAAGGCGAAGGTGTCTAGGGGTCTGAACTTGTTCTGAAAGATGGATAAATACTTGACAATCCAAGACAGAAGGAAAACTGCCACAACTCAGAGAAAAGGCAAAAAGCAGAAGTTCTTTTATTTAGAAAGCAAGCCAAACACGCCCAGCAGGAAGGGAGGGGGACCTCAGAGCTGAGAATCTTCCAGTTACATTTGAACTTGTCCATTTCTTCTATGTTGGGGTGACACCACCCAGGCCCTCTTCCTTATTCTTGATTTGTTCCCTTAAAATAAGAAGGGGAAGCTGATAAGTTCACCAGACCCTCCAGAGTTTAGAGAAGTCAAGTCTATCCAGGCCTTGTCAGAACTAAATATAAACATTTTCCTGTCAGCATCTTGGGAAACAAAGTCTGTCAGTGTCTGTACTGACAATAAAAATATAACTCAACCAGATCCTTTGTCACCCTCTGTCCCCAAATGTGACCTCTACCTCTTTTATCCTTTCTTCTTTTTGTTGTTGATTTTTTGAGACAGGGTCTTCCTGTAGCCCCAGCAGGCCTGGAACTTGCCATGTACTCCAGGCTGGCTTTGATCTCACAAATATCTTCTTGCCTCTGCCTCCTGAGTGCTGGAATTGAAGTTATGTGCCACCATGTCTGGCTCCTATCGTTCTTTCTGTTAAAGTGCCTAGCTAACTCTCCTGCCTTAGTAATGGGCTCAAACCTGCTGTGGCATGTGTGTGGAGGTCAGAGGAGAGCCTAAAGAATTTGATTCTTATATGAGTTATTTTTCTGTTGCTGTGATAAGACACCATGACCACAGTAATTAATGGAAGGAAGCATTTATTTGAGTTTACAGTTCCAAGGATAAGAGTCTATAATGATGGGGGAGGCATCACAGCAGAGGTGACCAGAGCAGAAAGTCCAGTGATCACATCTTCAAGCAGGCATAGGAAGCAGAGAGTAACTGGAAATCTAGCAAGGCTTAGGAACTCTCAAAGCCCATTTTTCTTCCTGCAAGGCCACACCTCCTAAATCTCCTAAAACTTCCCAAAACAGTGCCACCAACTGGGGACAAAATGACCAAATACTTGGAACCTTCAGGGAACATTTTCATTCAAATCACCACAGTTCTTCTCTTCCAGTATTTGGGTACCAGAGAGTGAACATAGGTCATCACCTTAAGCAGCAAATGCCTTTACCCAGTGAGTCATCTCGCTGGCCACATTCTAGAAATTATTTTCCATTGTTTATAAAAAGAGTAAGGCTGTGATCTATCAACAAGATAGATCTTAAAGAGTCTGTCTTACAAGTACTGTTTTTCTCATGCCCTTGACCTCTGTTGTTACTGGAATGAGAAAACTGCATTGCACAGAGCTCTAAAGGAGCTTGTAGAACTCTTGGTTGTGGAGGACGAAAAAAGATTTCAAGAACTACAGAGGACGAACAGGTTTGGGGAAGCATTTCTCTGTTGAAGATTTCTCTTGGGGGGACCATCAAAAAGCTCCATGGCCTGGCTGACCATATTTACAAGGTGCACAGGGGCTTCACCATCTCCAGTATGGTGGTAGACTCCACTGGCACTGCCTCTGTGTTCTGGACATCCGTAATCTAGTTTTGGCACCTGTGACAACCGACTGGTGCTGTCAGCAACTGGGTTGGGGTTGGGAGTGGCAGCAACTGAAACTGGTGACACCAGCACAGCTGTGGAAGAAATAAGCAGGTTGTTAGATGATGCTGAATTCACGTTCCTGATTTCAACAACTTTGTGCACGATGAAGGTGGCTGTAGAGATTATGTCCAAGATTACAGTCAAACTTATTAAAGCGGCTTTAACTATCCTAAAAAAAGCTGAAGGCCATCTGGCATCCATTCCATCCATTCCATCAAGATGACCAGAGTCAACACTCACCTAGAAGCAGATGCCCAGATCCTCACGACCACTGAAAGGACCTCTGCCCCATGTGCCAGTGAGGTATTCGATTCCTTTGAAGGCACTGCTCTGACAATGACTCTCAGAGGGTCTTGGATCAGTTATACAACCACTGCAGCTTTCTTCCTTACAGCGGATGTGCACAGCCTGTAAGAGACTCAATGTATTTACACAGGGGGGCAAAATCAAAGTCATTTGAAGCAATGTGTAGGCTGGCCCAGTGGCTGGAGAAGTTGAAGGAACCTCTCCAGATCCACAAGATCTTATTCAGACTTGCTTCATTTGATCCACTCCTCCATGAAGCATAGAGGTAAGTGGCGTTGACCTGGACAGATCAGAGACAGTTGAGGCATCTTGTTAGAGAAGTGATAGTTCTAACTGCCAACTTGACATAATGAAAAATCTCATGAGGGGCTTGTAGAGATGGCTTAGCAGTTAAAAGCACTTGCTGCTCTTGCAGAGGACCCAGGGTTCTGTTCCAAGTACCCACATGGCAGCTAACAACCATCCTCACTCAGTTCCTGGGGATTCGATGCCCTCTGACCTCTGCAGGCTTTGCAGAACTCAGGCGCACTTACATACATGCAGGCAATACACTCATACACATAAAATAAAAATAATAAATGAAATTTTAAAAAATCTCATGAGAAGAATGTCTCGGGGAGGAATTGTGTAGATCAAGTTGGCCTTTACATATGCCTGGGGGTGGGTGGGGGGATTTTTCTTATTTACAGTAATTGAGGCGGGAAGACTTTCCCTAAGTCCGGTTCCTGAACTGTGTAAGAATGGATAAAGCAGGCTGAACACTAATAAGTATGCACACATTAATTGATTTCTCTGTGCTCTGGATTGTGGATGTAATATGACTTGCTGCTTGGAGTTTCTGCCTTGATTTCCCTGCAATGGTAGATTTGTAACCTGCAACTAGAAACCAAATAAACCCTTTCTCCCCTAAGTTGCTTTTTGTCAGGGAATTTTATCATAGCAACAGAAATGAAACAGTGACAGAGAAAGTAAGTGAGATCACGTCTGTAGAGCTCAGCATTGCGGAACTTGTGTTTCTATGGTTCTGCACAGCAGAGTCAATGCAGACAGCACGTAACTGAAGGAGACTGGAGTCTGAACTAAGGGACTAGGGGGAACAGAGAGTGTTCCCTCTGACTGAAAGCATACTGGGGATGTGAATAGAGAGGGCTGTGCAGGAGCAAGCAGGGAGAAGGTCAGGAAAACCAAAGAGCTTAAAATAAGAGGAAGGCAAATGGAGTTCTCAATATGGAGAAGACACAGCTCCATCACTGGATGGAGTGTGCCCCTCCCCACAGGATGATGCCCTATGGGGTCTTTCAAGTAGTGAAAATATCAATTCACCTTTGTGTCCATCAAGCAGTGACTTCCCAGTGATGGCGAAAGTGATGATGACGATGGTGATGGTGATGATATTGAGGATGGTGGTGGTGACATCAGAGTGGGTTGACAAGTGGCCAACTGTTAAAGTGGACAGGGTGACATGATGGCCAATAAAATTAAAAATTAATATGTATGTGCTGTGCTGGAACAGAGGTGTGTGTGTGTCTGTGTTTAAAATATTTTATTTATTATTTTTATGTGTATGAGTGTATTGCCTGCATGTATGTGAGTGCATCCGTGTCGTGCAATGCCGTGGAGGTCAGAAGAAGGCTTCAATTCCCCTGGAACTGGAGTTGAGGACGGTTTGTAGCCACCATGTGGGTGCTGGGAATCAAACCGGGGTCCTCTGCAAGAGCAGTCAGTGCTCTTAACTGCTGAGCCCTCTCTCCAGCCATGTAAGAGAGAGTCTCAGCAGAGCCAGGTGGCTCAAGGTGTAAAGAATTCTGCCAAGCCTGATGACCTGAGTTTGATCCCTGAGACCCACCTGGTGGAAAGA